AGGGCAGCCCCACAGCTGACAGTCCAGATGCACTGAGGTCAAGTCATCATCAGTCAGATCAGGCTTTGCTGCCCACCTCCCTGCTTTCAGGGCACAGCCCCGGCCTCCCCTATGCCTCTCAGCTGGGCACCAAGTTAGCCATGACTTTGCTGTGTCCACCCCTGGTAAGGGGGCTGGCTGACAACAAGGTAAGGTGTGCCTTCTACTCATCTCCCCTCTGCCCCACTCTCCCATAGGTGCTCTTCTAGAATCAAAGCAATGAAGCTCTGACGGTGGAGCTGCAGGCAGGGAGAGAGAAAGGGAAGCACATGGCCAGTCACAGGTGTGTCCTGGTCCTGATCTGGAATATGGGCCAAGAGGCAACTCCTGGAGCTTGTACTCAGGCCAGAAGCTCTTTTAGCCTCAGCTGCCAGGGAAGTGAGAGGGGCTGGGCTTGAGGAATGACTTAAGAGCTAGTGTCAGCACCTAAAGTGCTGCCAAGTCCCTGGGCTTATACACTTCCCCTTGCACACGACACAAGCCACTCACAGGACCCCAATGCCGACTCTAGTGTACTGCTGGGGCTGTTTTTAGACACTTACCACAACTGGGAACTCACTGGACAAATATGTATTGCAATGGCATCAAATGGGGAGGGGGTGGGCATGGCTTACCTGGGTGGGAGGAGTTTTGTCCCTGTTATTTGCATATAACTGTTATCACATGGTGAGGATACAAAGCAGGTAGGCTTAGTTTTGTTACTGTGTTTGACTTTTCTATGAATGACTGACTGCACCAGGGAAGACCACTCCCAGCCTGCACCCCTGTAGGGTAAAGAAAATATCAGGCTTTTCTGCCCTTCCGCCATCAGGATAGATGATGGATCCTTGTCCTGAATGCATGCCTGATGGTGGGCACCTGGAATAGGGTGTGGGCATAGGTAGATGGGATTCAGCTGAGCTAAGACTGTGCTTTTAAGGGCGGCGTCACAGGGGGACGCCAGCAGCCCCAGCCAGCAGCAGCAGAACCTGAAGGAGAAGCCGAAGCAGAAGCAGAGAACGCCAGAGAGCCCAGATAGAGTGAAGACTTGCTGGGGGCTGGGAGGCCTGCCAGCCTCCCAGCCCCCCAGCCAGCACCCCTGCCTGCCATATGCCTGGTGAACCCCAAATAAAAAACCTGCAAAACTACTGAGGACTCTGACTCCTCCTTTACCCGGTCTGCATGGGATCAGAAAACCTGCACTCTGCCAATTCCTGCCTTTACAATTGGCGTATGTCGGCAAGATCCATGCAGACGGGTATTGGAGCCCTCCGAAGACCTGGAGGGACTAAGGAGAACAGACTTTGCCTGTGACGACGCTGGAGGCACCATGGCGGTATAGAAGATGGATACGTCCACGAGCTACAGGATGAGACCTGGCGTGAAGGAGACGCCCGAAAGGACCAGCCAACGACACCGGAAAGGACCAGCCAACGACACCGGATAGGACCAGCCAACGACACCGGAAAGGACCAGCCAATGACCCCTGAGGCAGCAGGCCATTGCTGAAGCAGGGAGAGGCCAATGGACTGATAGACTGATGAACTGATGATTTTGGACTGACAATCCCGCCAGAAGGCGGAGGACCTTAGCAGGTTATGTTTATTTTTTGAGAATCTGGGGGTGGCCAGTGGGCCTAGATGGCCAAAAGCAGCCTGTGTATGCCCAGTGGCCAGGTGGAGGAGAAAAGCCAACTAAGGTGGCAAAAGCTGGTACTGATGCTAAGTTGAGAAGCCCTAAAGCGGCTGTTAAGCAGCCTGGGTATGCTGAAGCACTGTGAGTCTCGTAAAATCACCTGTGGGTGATGCCCTGCTCATTCTTGAGTGAGGGTGAGGAGCTGAGGAACCTGTCCTTGGGGGACGGGTGGGGAACGTGGCTTGGGGTGGAGCCCAAGCTGAATGCAGAGTTTGGATCCCGACCCATGTGATTGTGCAGTGGGTTGGCTTGAGTGCAGGGGTCTGCGAGTCGCATGGGTGGCCATGAAGGCCGAGTGTTGGAGCGACTGCAGACAGAAACCCTGAGGGTTGGCGATTACCCCCAACAGAATAAAATTGCCAATCCCAGAGCTAGTGCATCCTGGGGGTGGATGCTGTGTGTGCCTTGTAGCCGAGACTACAGCCAGAGAAGGCCAGGAAGCCTGACGGCTCCTGGTGTGTTATAGCAGATGCCGTGTGTGATTTCCCCTCCCTCGTATGAGCAGTGCCTTCGGCAGCAGATTTGGTGGCTCATCTGCTGGTACCAATAATTGTCTTTTGCACTTGGTTGGTGCCCTGCCTGGACTTGTGTTCTGTTGTATTTTGTTATGTTGTATTTTGTTATTTGATGTATTTGCTTTTGTGGGCCATGGCTGCATTGTTTGTTTGCTTAGAAAATTGTGTATATATGTATAGACTGTATGGCAGAAAACCCTGAGGGGGTGGACTGTAGGGTAAAGAAAATATCAGGCTTTTCTGCCCTTCCGCCATCAGGATAGATGATGGATCCTTGTCCTGAATGCATGCCTGATGGTGGGCACCTGGAATAGGGTGTGGGCATAGGTAGATGGGATTCAGCTGAGCTAAGACTGTGCTTTTAAGGGCGGCGTCACGGGGGGACGCCAGCAGCCCCAGCCAGCAGCAGCAGAACCTGAAGGAGAAGCCGAAGCAGAAGCAGAGAACGCCAGAGAGCCCAGATAGAGTGAAGACTTGCTGGGGGCTGGGAGGCCTGCCAGCCTCCCAGCCCCCCAGCCAGCACCCCTGCCTGCCATATGCCTGGTGAACCCCAAATAAAAAACCTGCAAAACTACTGAGGACTCTGACTCCTCCTTTACCCGGTCTGCATGGGATCAGAAAACCTGCACTGTGGTCCTGTCCTGCCCTTACAACCCCCATGTACACCCATGATATGATCAACTGCTACTGGGTGCTAGGTACCCCGCAAGCCCCTAGAGATACAGCAGTGACATGTCCCCACTCTCAAGGGGACTTATACTCTAGTTTAAGAGAGAAACAAACCGATGAGAAGAACCTTTGCTGATAACAAATGCTATGCTGAAATAGAGTGTGGGCTAAAAGGAGAGTCTTGGACCCAAATATCTTGATTCTATCAGATCCAAAATCATAAAATCTAACAATGGACCTGATATTTTTTTAACCAAGAAAATCTTTATTGTTTTAAGGCTAGTACAGCATTCAAATAACGGGCCTGTATTTCCAATAAGAAATTAAGTTCGTTCTCCTAATTACCCTCCCGTAATTCTCTAGTCACCAACATGCCTGGGTAGAGGCACAGATTCTCGAAGTTGACCAGCTCGAGAAGGTGTGAAGACATCCCCCGAGAGCGCTGCGTCATAACATCCCGCTTGTATCCAACTTGGATACGAGAGCCAGGCTGGCACTGCTTGTCCAGCAGCATCAGTGAGGATGCACGTATTCGACTCAAACTCATCTTAGAGTTCAAAAGGTAATTAGCTATCATCTCACTTACTGGTGGGGAAGCTGAGACCCAGAGGGGGGACTAACAGCCCTACTGTGTTAGCTTGGTCATTTTCTATAGATGTATTTCTTATGTTATGTTTCTGGATGTCTTAAGCAGAATAAGGAATACTGGCTGAAATGGAGCGCTTCCTTTAGATCCATTATTATAATGTGTGTCAACTCTGCTTCTGTGCAATGATTCTGTGATAGCCAAATGATGAAAAGATAAATGTGGGGTAATTTGCTTCTATGTTAAATAACCCAGCCTGCTTCATGCCATTGCCTTCCCTCGCTCCCCACCCCCACTGCCCTGGCCCTTTCTTCTTTCTTACTGAAAGATTTCTAGAACCCTTTATGTGGCTTCTGGTTACATTATAATCCCAGGGTGGCCCTGCTCTTCAGCAAAGGGGATGATGATCTCAAAGCCCAAGCAATTAGGCTGCTTACCTAACTCAGCACAACAGATAACCTTTGTTGGGTGCTTATTTTGTGCAATGCCACATTTGAGGTTCTTCTGATGCTCATATAGATGTAGATGTTATTTCTCCATTTGATGCTCATATAGATGTAGATGTTATTTCTCCTGAGTCACTAGTGAGACCTTGTCCAAGGTCACACAACTGGCGAAAGGAGGCCCGGGATTCAAAGCCCACACTCTGAATAGCTATTCTATTCTATTTGTGTGAAGGAGCATTAAAAAAAAAAAAGACTTCTAGGAAAATCATCACATACAAGGGAAACAACTTGAGGCTCAGAAAGGGCAGCAACTTCACCCCAAAGTTAAACAGCTGTTTAGGAGGAGAGTCAGACTAGGGATCACCCTCTGGCTCACTGTTCCCAGGTTCGGGCCACTACACAAACGTTTGGGTGTGTTTTGTTTCTCTTTTTTTTTTTTTTTTTTGAAAAATAAGGTAACTCCTAGACTGGGCTTGGGCACCTCGGGTTCAGGGTTCCTCCCTTTCTCAAGCCAACAGGGCCTGCCTGGCTCAAAACCACCCCTTGAGCCACTGCCGGGACACTGTGACTGGGAGTTGGCTGGTCAGGAGTCTACTGAACAAAGTGACCTCTCCCTCAGGAAGGCAAATTTCTAATCTGAATTTCACCTCATCACCCTCCCCCCTCTCCAGACCAGCAGATTTCTCAAACACACCTGCTTTCTCTACAATGAGGTGGGCCTGTCACAGACAGTGAGCAGTGGCGAGATATGACCTAGCCTTTCCTCATCCACCTCCCACATCTAAAAGTGGGAGACTCTTGAGTCCCAGGGAACGGAGAGGCTCTGCTTCCCTGGAGACTTCAAGTTCAGAGGGTAAAGATTCAGGACTCCATTCGTGGACAGCTCTACAGCTAATAAGAGAGATGGCCCAGGAGAGGCCCTGGTGGTGGAAGATAATCAGCACTGCGAAGGGAAGGAGAGGGGAGGGAAGCCGGGTGAGAAGACCCTTAGGTCCCTTCCAGCCTTTGTGCCTCGGGCCTCTGCCCTGCCCGAGGGCCACCACAGACCAGAGTCTTTTCCCAGCTGCTTACCTGTGGCTGCTGGGTGGTTAAGGGTCTCTGAGGAGATAGGACAGGTGTCCTGGACAGCAGCTGGTTCATCTTGCTGATGACTAGTTCAGTGATGAGCTGTCTGTCCTCCACCTGGTGATCCCCAATCAGTGGCATACTGCAGTCCATGACCTGTGGAAGATGCAGCCGGGTTAGGAAAGGGTTTGGAAATGCTAAGTCCCGATGGTGACAGGGAGGCAATGAAGCTGGAGTTCTTGTCTTCAGCTCCTCACGCAGACCTCTGCCCTCTGCCCTCCCCCCAGATCAGTGCTCATGGGGCTGCAAGATGGGAGCCTGAAAGTAGTGGGGACAGATGGAGATCAAGGAGAGAGCGCAGACCTAGGCTCAGAGGTTTGCTCTAAAGGACAGGAACACAGGAAGATCATTCCCTTAACCCTCTGGTTAGAGGCATGTAGTGTTAGCTCAGTTTTCACTCTCACAATCTCCAGCTCTAAACACTCTGCCCACTGAATGACTAACTTCCTGCCTCTGTTCATGACCTGGGAGGCCTTCCCTTCCCACCTCCAATCCTGGCTCTTCAAGGTCCAGATGATTGTTTTTCTCCCTCAAATATCACAGATTCTGCAGTTGAACGCTCTCATTTCTAGATGAGAACAGTGAGCCCCACCAGAGAGGAAGGTGTGGCCATCCAGAAGGCTATACACCAAACGGGCCATGGAGGAAGACTTGGAAGCCCACATTCCTAGACAGACACCAAGCCTCTGCAAATACCATCAGCTTCTGCAAGGTGCCTTCCCCCTCCAGGAAAGCTGGGCAGGAATGTGTAGGAAGGATTCATACTGCACTGACCTTCCCTTTGACCCAGGAAGGGAGTCAGCACAGCTGTTAGAAAACCAGACCGAGTAAAGTGTCTCTGAGCTCAGAGATGCCAAAGTCTCCTGCTTCCTGAGTTCTAGCCCAGGATGAAAACTGATTCACTCTGTGCCCTGGGCACATGCTTCAGGCTTCAGTCTTCTCACCCACAAAATAAGCAGACTGGACCAACTGATTCCCAAGATCAGCTTTTGAAATGGAAGAATGGTGAAATCATGGCAGCTGTCCACGGCATTGAGCTAGGACCCCAGGAACCCAGAGCTCTTCCCCATGGTGGGTCACCTGCTGGGGGACTCACTGATCTGTGTGCTGGGACTCTCTGTGGCCCAGGAGATTCTAAATGCAGCCCAGGCTGCCCACAGACTTCTCAGCCAAGAGCCTGCCTCCGTCTCTTCTAGAGAGACTCCTCGGCCCAGACTTACCTCAAAAATGTAGTCTTTCCCATCTTTGCCATGTACAGCTTTGACAGCACAGATGTCTAGGCCACCGAACATCTCCGAGCAGGTATCTACCCACAGCTTGTACCTGGAGGGGACAGCAGGTGTCCTGAGGTGGGGGCATCAGCTCACATCAAGCCTCCTGGCAGCCACTGCCTCACACCCGCCCTGCCCCCATCAAACTCACTGCCTGATCTGCAGTGCTCTCAGGCCCCTGTCCATTCTGCCAGGCCCAGGGCGGGTCCCGGCTCCTCTCAGTGGCCTTCCCTGGCTTTTCCAGTGACACCAACTACTCCTTTCCCAGTGCCTCCAAGGTATATCCAGTCTTTGTGATCATACTTTGGCACTGCAGATACTGTTAATCGGGACTCTGTACTCCAGCTGTCCTGTCTGCTGAGCATCTACCCTCAGGCTCATGACTTACAGCTCTTCATCTAGGAGCCCCCTCTCACCAGGCTGAGGACTTCCCACCCACTTACCGGTCTGACATGGCAATCTGCTCCAGCATTGCAGAGCCAGTGTTCGTCTTCCAGTTCCCTGAGATGGAGGTCCTCCTGCAACACATCCCGCCCGGGGACGACAGGCAGTGAGCAACATCGGCAACAGGAGGGCAAGAAACTTTCCAGAATGTTGGCTCGCTGCTGCTTTTCTCCCACACAGAACCCAGGTGTCTGCTAAGCCTACAGCCTGGGAGCCTCTGCCACCTGCCCACCCGGGGTGCCCTTCCCTTCTCTACCAGGCTCCAGCTCCTTATCTTTCTAGCCAGCTGAACATTTGCTTTCCACAGAATCCCTGTGGGACCTTGCTGGACTTCACCATTCTACATTTGCTTTGTACTTCAGTTATTTGAGCTAAGTCTTCTCTCTACAAGTCTGTACACACCTGGTATTCCCAGCAGCTTGCCCACTCAGTGGCTGGGCTGCCTTGGTACATACAAAATGAATTTTATAGACCCCAGGGGATCCTTCAGGTTCCTGTAAACATCTCTCAATGGCTCCCTCCCTAGATCACTCATTCATTCCTTTGACCTTCCGAGGACCAGCAGTCTCAGCAATGTGACTCTGGACAAGTCGGTCACTCTCTTCAGGCTTCAGTTGCCTTATCCACCAATAGAGTTGCTTGGATCAAGACACCACCTCTTCTCTGCTGTGCCCCCTGCACCCTATACCCAGGAGCACGTGCTGGAGTCAACTCATTTCAGACTGAAGGAGGCAGATGACCTGGTTTCTGGTTCTGGATTTGCCCCTGACTGACCGGCAGTCACCTTAGAGAATCACCTCACCAATCTGAACCTCTGATCTCTGGAAACACAGGGCCCTAGGCTGTCATGAGGACTGACTGATACAGGTTTAAATACCTGTAAAAAACACCAAAAACATTTCTTTCTAATAATTAGACTTCCCTCAGACCCAGTCAAGAGGAAGGGGATCCCAGAGGACAGGAAAGCCCAGCCCACATGACTGACGGAGCCCATCATCTGTTGGCCTTACCACTCACTAGCCAGGGTGCTGGCCTCCACCCAGAGGTTCCCAGGAGAATGCGCCCAGAGATCCAATTTAGACACTGGGAATGCCACACATACGGTGAGTTGTCCAGCCCCGAGGATTGACGTGGTAATGACAGGTCCTCATACTTGCACAGCACCATGTGCCTTCCAAGCTCCTACCCCAATTCAAGCCCTTCCCCTGAGCCTCATTTCCAACCCCTGTAGTGAGTAGGCTGGGTTTCTGGGCCCTGCTTTCCAGACAAGAAGATAAAGACTAAGAAAGGTCAAGTGGCTGTTTATCAAGTCACAGCAGATAGAAAAATCCAGGACTCCCCCGTGAGGAGGAGAACTATAGTGTGTACTAGCGAGTTCAGAAAGCACAGAGCGCTTGCAAAATCTGAGTAGAAACACAAAGATGGATCATAACAGAAATAACACTCTCTTCCTAACACAGGTGGTTTACAAGTGTGTCCCTGTGACCAGGCTGCCTCTCAAATCACGCCCACTTTCCCGGCACAGAGCCTGGGACAGAACAGGGCCTCAGAAACTTTGTGTGAGTATTGATATGGCTCCTTTCATCGGCACTTCAAAGTTTATCATGTTCCCTGAGACTGCACCTCTTACCTTCCTCTAACAGCAGAGGCAGGGCACAGATCCACCTGGGGTCTGTGGGCCCAGGGACAGCAGCGGTCACTCAGTGACAGCTCGAGGGACTCACAGGTCATCTGACCTCCTTGGAGGGACCCACATTATTGCCACTGACAGTGAACCAGAACAGAAGCTTCTTTCCACCAAACATGGCTGACTGGATCTCTAGGGTGACAGCTGAGGGGAGGGAGGAATCTCAACCTTTGTCTTGGCTGCTTCCAAGTCAACTGCTCCCTCTGGGAGCAAGGGGAAAAATTCAGGGAAGAGGAACCAAGAGACCTAAACTTTCTCCAAATAACTGATGGAGCTCTAACTAGGGCCGCCCACCTGACAGGAGATGTGCTCTCCTGGGGCCCAACGACACAGACTTTCCTGCTTCTTGCAGCCAGTGTTCCTAATGAACATGTCTTTTATGTGAACCTGTGTCTCACTTTGCATATCTTTAGAACCACCCTACACTACTTTCTGAAGTAGAAAGACTGTAAATAAAAATTACAGACTTTTTAAAAGTAGGAATCTAATCAATAAAGGTACAAACATTTCCATGCCTAGTTCTCTACACACACACACACACCCTCCCCCCGAACACTTCTCAGGGTCTGCTGCACGCCCACTGTGGCACAGTATGGTGGGGGCACACAGGAGGCTTGGCCATTCCTGCCTGAGCACTCAGGGTCCCGAGGCATATGATACAGCACATTGTGTGAAAGGAGCTAAAGCAGAGGGGGTGTGCAGAGGAGGGGCTCCTAACTAACTCCAGGAGTGGGGAGCATGAACACTAAAATGGGTGAAAGAAGAAAAATGGAAACAGATGGGTGGATTGCTCAACCTAGCATCTGCTAAAGTCCTGAGCGGCAGAAACTAAATTCATACACATAATTCTTTATAAAGAACATACCAACTTAAATTTGAGGGGAAAAAAAGGGAGGTTAGTAGTTCCAAAAGCGAAAGTCATTTGTATTCTTGTGTGGGGTAGTCCTGAAGTCTTTTCTTTTTCCAAATGCTAAGGAAGAAAATCTTTCACTTTCCATTTTGGCAAATGGACACCCTTAGGTGAAGAGTCTTCTCCTCTCAGAACCACTAGGTTACATTCTCTATTGGAGACAGGGCTGCCAGAGCACGCCAGCAACCCAGGCACCTAGACAACCCCCCGGCTGCAATGGCCACCACTCACTGTTATTGGCCTGTGGGCCAGAGACTCAGCTGGGAGCTGGCTGTTCCCAAGAAGCTCAGCCTCTGCACGGGGCTACAGACAGGGGAAGAGCCACTCACATGTAAGCCTTGTAGTTGTTGCCTATCTTCTGGACCCGGATGTCATACTTGGCATCGATGAAAGGCTCTGCTGTGGCATAGGTCTGGGTGAGGGCCACCACACTAGCGATGTCCTGGAAGTCATAGTGGTTTTCTACCTTGACCTAGTGTTGGAGGGGGGTGGAGAAAGAGAAAGGGAGGTGCACACACACGCTGAGAATCACGAGAGCCCTAGTCTCCAAACCCATCAAGACGCTTCCCGGCCAGATGCAGCCTGGGTGCCCCCCACCACCACCAGGAAGCCCCTTCCTCCTAGCACCTCTCCTCAAGGGTAAGGAGCCACCCGCCACAAAGGCCCCAAGGCTCCAAGCAGGAGCCGTCCCCCTGTCTGGGGAACACTCGCAACACAGAGAGGCCAAGTCTCCGGGGAAAGAACTCATCAGCGATAGAGGCAGAAGAGCAGTCCATGACCAGGCTTTCTCCAAAGTGCCTTCTTGGCCTTAACCTCCAAGCACAGCAGACCCGGGTCCTACCTTGCCCATGCCCGAGTGAGCGTGGCCAATCTTCACCACCACAGGGAACGTGGGCAGTGTCAGCTGAAAGCAGAGGGAGAGGCATGAATTGGTCAGACTGCCTGTTTCTCTGGAATCCTAGAAATATTTTTCTTGAGAACACCTTTGGGAGGATGGATTAAATAACTAGCCCAGGTGTGTCATGGGGGACAGGCTCCCCCCGCTGTGTCCAGGGCAGGGACCACAGTGACAAGAGCAGGATCTCGTCACCAAGGGGCCTCTTGAGTAGTCCCATGACCAGCTGTGCTCAGCGCAACTCGTACTCAGAGCTCTAGGTACATGAGGACAATGGAGCTGCCGAGCTATGCTGTACCCCTGAGGATCCGCAGCTGGCCCTGGGTCTCTCCTATGTGGAGAAGCTTTTTAGTGTCAGCAACAAGTGGTCTTGGATTAACAACATTCTACAGAACTCCCAGGCCAAACAGAGTTGCAAGGAAAAAGCCCTCAGGAGGGAGATGCTGGATTCGGGGGTTTAATCCCTGGCTCCCCAAGCAAGTACCAGGCCAGAAGATGGGCCCCAGCCTCAAAACAGCACATGCACTGGTCCCCAGTTCCCTGTTGCAACAGATCCCAGGATTCCCTGTGGACCCTGAGGCATCAAACAGGCAGCCCTATGGCTTGTGTCTGAAGCTTTTCAGTCTTACGTGTTTACGTATGGGCCCAAAGAAAGCTGTGTACAGCAGGATGGGGGACCCGAGGGGCTCCATGTGGTTCCTGCTCCCTTCCAGAATGAACTGAGACCTACACACAGGAATTTATCACAGCGCTGCATCTTTGCCCACCTCCTCTGCCTTCCTAGGGTCTAGCTCCCTGGGGAGGGTTTTCCTCAGCTAGGGGCCTGGGGTTGGGGATGCTGGCAGTGTGTCCTCTCCTGGAGGCTTCTTATTCTCCTTGGTTTACAATAAAGATTTGGACAGGAAAAGTCAAGGTGAGTGACCCTGTCCACACTCTGTGGTTGACTGCATGGGCTTGAATACAGTAGCAGTGTTGCTGCAACCATTTAATTCAGTAAATGCTGAAGCAGTAGTTGACGCTGATTTAAAAAAAAAAAAAAAAAGGTAGCCTGCCTGTAACTGTGTAGGTGTTTCTTCTTACAAACTCTTTTCCTCTGCAAAGCAGCAGCGACAGCTTCCTGCCCAAATGTGGCTATGTGGGTGCCTCTTGTTTCTTCCCATTTCCTAATAAACCAGTCCCTTTAGAATGTAAAATAATCATCATCATAATAATAAATAAAAGAGCTAGTCCAACCTACTTGATTTAGAAACTTAAACAACCCAAGGTCATGGTGAGGAACCCAAGATCACAGCACACCAGTGGCAGAGCTGTGAGGACCCTGCCCTTCCCCTCGGTGCTCTCTACACCTTTCAAACTCACGGCTTCAACTCTGGGCACAAGGGAAACCCGGAGCAGAAGTGGACCTCGGCTGCAGAGAACAAACGCATCTCTGAAAGGGAGGGTGATGCTACATGTAAACTCCACTTCAGTCAACCTGAAGTTTAATAAAACTCATCTTTGGAATCTTAATGTCCCTTTCCTCATGTCCTTCTACTTCTCTTCCCTCCCCATGCAAAGTCTGGTTTTTCTTGTTCTGGCTTTTTTTCTCCCTCTTTCACCCTCTCGTCATTGCTCACCAACACCCCAAACTCACACCAAACATAGCTTAGTATGCCAAGGCCTATTTCTGCCCAGCTTGGGCGTTTCGTGAAAGCGAACATGAAAACTCAATGTTCATCACTTGGAGCAATTCCTGAAGAGAATGAACTCTACGTTGAGGTAGCCGTATCTTAACAGAACAACCATAAAAACTTGAAAGAACTGTCCTCCAAGGCAGGACTTCAAAATGACGCTGGAAGAATCCTTGGTGGAGGGGAAGGAGCACTGGCCTTGAGGTCCAAAGATGGGCTTTCTAGTCGCTCCTCCACTTCCTGCGAACCTCCTCACCTCGCTGAGTCTCAGTCTCCACAGCTGTCAAATGAAGAGACCGTCTCACAGCAGCTGAGGCTGGCGGTTCTGGGTGTCGTGTGAACCAGCCTAGATGGCAAATCGCATCCTTCTCAGGCTGGCTCAGCATTTTCCATTCTGTCTTTTCAAACATCACTAGCACACCAATACAAAAGGATGCTTTGGAAGGAAATAAAGTTGACTCTGATGAAAAGCCCCCATGGGATCTAAGTGTGGCCAGATACAAGGGAGTATTTGACCTGCAGATTTTCTGGCTTCCTGGCAGGGGCCAGTTGAGCCTGTGGCCAAGAGCTCCAAGGGCCTTGCAAGTCCTGTAGTTCAATTCCATTTTATGGAGAAGAAACTGAGGCCCAGAGAGGCAAAAGCTGCAGAGCCACCTAGTTTGGCATCAGGGCACGGCCTTCACCTCCTGTCCGGCGGTGTGGAAAGACACTCCCATGGTCCCTTTCTACTTGGGGCCTGGGAGCACCGTGCTTGGTCAGCGTGGACAAGGCTCTGCTTGCAGCCACACTAAATGCTTGCTCTGTTCTCTAAGCTGCCCCACCGTATATAACAAGACAGAGTCTCTGCAGTGAACAGCGAGTGGCAGGAGCCAGGCCTCACTGTGGCCGAAGGTGTGGCAGGGCTGAGAGGTGATGTCCAGTGCTGTGAGCCCCCAGCGGCACTGTCTCCAGCCATCTGCAGTCTGCGGCCCTGGGTATGGGAAAGCGTTTCTAATGCATTGGCTGCTTTCTCGGACATCCCTCCCCACCCCCAAGCCAAACGGAGCCAAGACACACACACCCCAACTTTCTCTATCCTGTTCCACTACTGTTTGCTGTTGCTTTGGAGCCTCATAAATAGGGCATTGAAAACACTTCCTGCAGCTGAAAGAAGCCCTGAGTAGCTTGTCTCATTCCCAGTGTGCGGCTCAGCAAGGGGTCCGTCCTTCTCTGTCACTGTCTCTTTTGCCTGTTGTAATTCCGTCTGCCTCTCTCTGACTCTGCCTGTCTTGCTCTTTCTGTGTGTGCCTCTCCTCGCTCTTGTTCCTTCTGTCTGAATCACAGCCCCTCAGTCCTTCTGCCCTCACGCCTTTGTTGTGCTTTCTGTCCCTCTGCCCTGACACCATCCACTCTCCCGGTGCCATCCCTCTACTTTCAGAAGGTTTAATTGCTCAGGCAGGGAAAGGGAGGCAGGGGTCCCTCTCCTGGCTTCCCACCTCATCTTACTGCGCCTGCCTGCCAGTCAGGAGGGTTGTCGTCCTGCAGCCCAGGGCCCAGAGCCAAATGAGGGCGGAGCCCATGGGGCGGGATTGGCCCCAAGTCTAACTCCATAAAGCCCAGGGCTAGGAGCGCTCCGTGTGCTGAAGGAGCCCTGGAGGGGCTGTTTAGTCCTGCGCCCCAGAGGCTCACAGGGGCTGTGTGGTGTCATGCCCGGGAGCCCGCGGAGGGCACCGAGCTGGGTGCTGCTGCTGCGGCTGCTGGCCCTGCTGCGGCCGCCGGGGCCCGGCGAGGCATGCAGCTGCGTCCCCGCGCATCCCCAGCAGCATGTCTGCCACTCGGCGCTTGGTGAGTCCCCAATGTCCACTCCAGCAGGTCCACGGCAGGGGGTGGTTGTGTGGGAGGGGTATGGGTACCAGCTGGAGTCCAGGGAGAGGGAGGAGCTCAAATGTCCCACTAGCTGCCTCCTACGGGGGCAGATGGTCAACAGGGCCGGCCCCATAGCAAACTTGCAAGTGCAGAGACTGGCTCATATGTAAGGAAAGACCCTTTCACGCCCGCCTAAGAGTCTATGGAACTATGGGGGGTGGGGGGGAGTCAGAGTCAGGGGGTTGGGCTTGCACCCCTCTGTATCCAACCTGTGACTGAGGTCACCCCCATACCCTTACCCCAACACACACCTTTTGCCTTTTTCTTCTGAAGATGCCACTCCTCCACAACTTTAAATTCCTGGCAAACTCCTAGTCATCCTTCAGGGTCTTACTCAGGTCTCTCTACTCTTCCCTGAAGGCTTCCTGACCCCCAGGGCTCCCACAGCATCACAATCTCTGTGCTCCTACTAAGCTGCATTGTTTGTGTATTCTCCACCACAGCAAGAATCCTGCAGGATGAGGCACCCTGTCCTAGTCAGCTTTAAGGAGCTGGTGCCTAGTACTAGGCCAGGCACAGAGGGTGAACTTCGTAAACAACTTCTGATGAATGCTCAGAAGGCAGGAGATGAGCGCCCTCAGTGAGGGTTAGAACGTGCATTAACTCAATAAACATTTATTCACTTCAGCTCTGGGTGGGCTTTCTTTGAGGCCCGGGGCACACCCACTGCCTCCAGGAGCGCCTCCTCCCTCCTCTACCCTGCCACTCTCCTCTACCCAGCTGTACCCTGGACACTGGAGAAGCAAGAGCTCCTGGAGCTGGCAGGTAAACAGCAGAGACTGCAGGACCTAATAGGCCCAACGCAGGTGGAACTACAACTGCAGGAGTTTCCAGATCCCACTCTCACACACATCGCCCTCCTCTCACCCACCAACACCTCCAAACCCAGAATTCCCCCACAGAATTCGCAAGGGTCGCCAGGTCATGCAGAACTGGGCTGCTCCCACAGCTTGCTGAAGCTCCCTTTTTTCTCTTCCTGTGTAGTGATCCGGGCCAAAATCTCCAGTGAGAAGGTAGTTCCTGCCAGTGCAGACCCTGCTGACACTCAAAAAATGATCCGGTATGAAATCAAACAGATAAAGGTACATGCGGACAGGACAGGGCATTTTCCCTTGGGCTGGAAGGAGCGGGTCTGTCCTGGCAGGGTGGGGCTGGTAGGTCCCACAGGTCAGCTGGGTACCCCTGGAGGAAAGATGCTAGAACGGCAGCAGATGACCGGTGGGTAGCGGGCACTGTAGTGTCTGAGTGACAGTGTGGGATGTCCAGCTGCCTGGAATGGGGCCACCACAGGCACCTCCCCTCTCAATGTGATACTCCTGAGCTGAGGAATTTAAAGAGAGAAATGACCCAGCTGGGCAATCTGTATGCACCAAATTCTGAACTAGACTTCTGCTGAACTTTTTAGATTGAGAAGTACAAAGTTTCCTTGACCAGATAGCAGTTTTTGTAATTATCTTACAGATGTTTAAAGGGTTTGAAAAAATCAAGGATGTTCAGTATGTCTACACGCCTTTTGACTCCTCCCTTTGTGGTGTGAAACTGGAAGCCAACAGCCAGAAGCAGTATCTCTTGACTGGTAAGATCAGAGAAGCAAGGAGCCCTAACAGACTCTCCTGAGGCAGGGTTCCAGGGGTCCTTCCTGGGGCTGCAGGCTGAGCAGGGTGCCATTTTCTTAGGCATAAAGTACAGGCAGCCTCTGGCTTGCAAAGCAATGGGCTCTGGTGATAGTGACCGTGGCCACTGCTTCCTACTTCAAGGCTGGGGTTATTCTCCCAGCCCAGGGTAGCTGGTTCCATTTTCAAACCATTTTTAATTGGTGTAAGATTTTTGGCGTCTTAAGTCAAAATTTGCCCCTCTGAACTGCCCCTGCGGGTTTGGTTGTGCCCTCTGCTCTCAGCCGCTGCTTTGGCCTAAGGTCCACACTCTTTTTATTCTAGGCCTGCTAGCCATGGCTCCCAGACCCCCTCCTACCTTGACTACCTCTCCAGAGGCCACCACTGACCCCTGTCCCTATCCTAGCACAGGAGCCTGCACTGAACAAACACTACAGGCGAGGTCTTGGTCTCACCAGAGTAGAAAGACTGTCTGTATGTACCCCTTCCCATGGGGCCACACTCCTGGTCAGTGTGATCCTAAGTGCTTCACTTGCACCCCTGGCTCTATTCTGAGGATATAGCAAATCACAGGCCCTGACAGGAGACGTGAGGCTAACATATTTCTGTCTCCAAAAATCTGGGCCCAGGCAGGTCCCCCACATATGAATTGGTTGGAAAGAGCTACATGAGGAGACTCTGGTTGAAGACATTAAGTTACATTAAGTTACTCTGTAGTCCAGGACAGGTTTCCATAGTGTGGTAAACAATGAGGGCACTCCATGGTAGGACAGGGGCAGGACTCCTACTATCTGCCCACCCATCCAGCAGTGGCACCACCTCCTCACTGCCAGCCTTGGGTGGAGACGCCAACACAAGTCATGGTGCTTAGAGGGCCTCAGACCAGATGTAGCTCTTGAGAAGGCCTTGGCGTGGGATATTGTCCTGGGGGCCTCCCCATTACTAAGCATGTGGGGAGCCCCTGGACAGCAGAGACAGACTCAGGGCACACACTGAGAGCCTCCAGTGCATCAGGGTGAGTGGAAGGTCCACTTTCTGCCCTTTGGTGTGTGTGGGGGGGGAGTCAAATCTAATCAAGGTGGGGACAAATGACAAAAGACAAGTCTACTGAACAGCCTCAGTGGGGAAGGCACCAGTGTTGAAAGTACCTGGTGTTGAAAGCCCCCTGTGACTAGAGGCCCACTGGCTTTCCAGCTTGGTCTCCTGCACCTGTCGGCGACAGTCCCAGACCTGAGCAAAACTATGTGTGGTTTCAGGTGGTGTCCTGCTGGCCCAACCCTCTGCCTTCCCCCCAGAAACCCTCCCCCACTTGCCTGGCAGACAACACCCACTGGGGAAGGCCCAATTCCAGTCTCATCTCCTGAAGCACATTCCCTACCCCACCCCTCCCCGAAGTAACTGTTTCTTTCATTCATCTGTGCCTGGTATATCAGCATGCAAGCCTCGGTTTTGCCTACTCTCTGCCTACCAGTTTTTCAGCCCCTAGGAGCAGAGTTCTTGGCATTCTGATTTCTGTATTCCTGGGACCCAGTCATAGTAGTTGCTCAGGGAGTGACTGAGAGGTGTGAGCTCGTGTGGTGAGGGGGTGACTGGCGGAGGAGCTGGTGCTGAAAAGGGTCTTTGGGAGTCAGGAAAGGTTCATAGGTCAAGAAGCGGAACTTTTCAGTGGGGAGAATGGCTGCCAAGGTAGTGTCTGTGTGGAAGACTGGCTGGGGTGGACCCTGGAGGGCTGGAAAGGGGAAGGGCCCATTCTTGACCAAACATCCTCTTTGAGTCCACAATTGTGTCTGGAACTTTACATTCTCATTAAACCCCACAACCATCTTCCATCTTCCAGCTAAGCATTTCCCTGGCTTTCTTAAGTTTACACATCTGGTAAAAGGTAAAAAAGCAGGGGGTTCCTCCAGAGGCCGACTTCAAAGCCATGCCCTCCTCCTTCCACCATGCCAGAGGAAAAGGCCTTCCTGCCATAGCTTTGTCTGCACAAACATCATCTCTGAACACACAAAATGAGAACTTATAAAAATTAGGCAGGTTTGTCTGTTTCCTTCATAGAGCCCCCTATCAGCACTGATACACAAAAAGCCACTCTCCAAAGGCTGAAATTCTGGGCTCTTGAAAGCCCTGGGCCCCTGAGGCTCACAGGCTGATTCCTGAGGCTGATTTCCCTCCGTCTCCCCTCAAAGGTCAGATCCTCAGTGATGGGAAAGTCTTCATTCATCTGTGCAACTACATTGAGCCCTGGGAGAACCTGTCCTTTTTGCAGAGAGAAAGCCTGAATCACCACTACCACCTGAACTGTGGCTGCCAAGTAAGAAATGTCCATTTCCAAGGTCTGCGGGGGCTGGGAGCCCTGCCAGGGGTCAGGCATTATGTGGGACGGAAAGAAAGATGAACCATAGTCCCTGACCCAGAGGATCTCAGTGTCCATTCTGGCTGGGAAGACAGCCGGCATAAGGTGGACTGAGATAACACAGCCACTACTTAAAGAGAGTCCACTTCTTGCCCAGTCCTGTAACGGCCAGAGCCAATATCTATTTTAAATATCTAATTTAGTCTTTGTAACACATTCATGAAGGCTTAAGCTTCCCATTTTAAGGTGAAGAAATCAATGCCCTAGGAGGTGAAAGGACTTGTTCAAGGTCAGTGGTAAGACCCCTCCCCCCAGGCCTGTCTGACTTCAGATCTGCCTTAGAGAGGCCTCCTCAGACAGGAACTCAGGGAAAAGGAGAACTCCAAAAGTCCAGAGGCGAGGAGAGCTTCACCAGGCACGGCCCATGAGCTGGGCTACAAGGCTGGAGTGGTGGGAAAGGCAGAGTGGGAGAGGCCAGCCTGCTGACCTGGATGTTGTGTGGCTGTGACCCCAGATTACCACCTGCTACACAGTGCCCTGCACCATCTCGGCCCCCAACGAGTGCCTCTGGACAGACTGGCTGCTGGAACGGAAGCTCCATGGGTACCAGGCCCAGTATTATGTCTGCATGAAGCATGTGGATGGCGTCTGCAGCTGGTACCGGGACCACCTGCCCTTCAGGAAGGGGTTTGTGGACATCATCCAGCCCTAGTCAGGGCCAGACCACCACCTGCCTTCAAGAGTCCTATGACCAGGCCAGGGTCTGTCCCTGCAGAGCTCTAGCCACTGCCACCGGCCTTATCAGGGACAGCCTGGGGAAGCGCCAAGTGACGGGCCTGCCAATGGGAATGGGCATGTCCCCACAGACCCTGTTAAAGGCTGGGAAGTAACCTGGCTCTTCTACCCGCCCCCAGCCCTTCTCCCCTGCCTCCCAAACGCTTTCAGTCTAGCTGGTACTTGTTACTGACTGTTTTGATTCTGACTTATCTCATTTCCCAAAGTCTGAACTGTTCCTTTTTCTCCCCAGGAAAGTGTTTTCTTTTACCTTAACTGACCTGCTAGGGAGGCATGGTGCATACTGTGCATAGGAGAGGGTGTGGCCCTGGCATGTGCACCCAGAGGTGCATGATAAGCACCAATCAGTATCACAAACAGACTGGCAGGGAGGAAGGAAAGAACACCCACTGAAGCTATGTGTCCTCTTCTGTTTCAGCTCATCCTCATCCTCTTACTCACTTTCATCTGATCAAGGGTGTGAGTTGGGGGACACAGAGTCAGTGTGGGAGACCCGCATGGGCGCATATTCCCTCTACATCCTGGGCTCCCTGGACACCATTCCTGGCAGAGGCTCTGGCCCAGTGAGCATGCCCCTCTGGACAAGACTTAGGTATTCTCCCTCCAGGTTAACAACTGATGTCCATAAGGCTTCTCTTCTAGAAAGTCCTTCTCTGCTAGGTTACTAATATCTTCATTCCTACTTCAGAGTAGTTTGTTGTTTGTTTGTTTTTTTTTAACCAAAAAGGTCTTTCCTTGTAAAGTTGAAATCCTACCTTAGGAGAGATTCAGACACCACAGAGAGATCTAAGGCAGTCCCCTCTTACAGGGAAATTTCAGGATAGAGGAGAAAGAACACAAGGGCCCCTAGGGGAAAGGGATGGGTAAATGAGGAATATACTTTGCAAGGCTGCAGTTTTCTTGGGGGGCAACCCTGCTAGATGTTGTAACAGGAATAGCCAGGGTTGAGGCCCCAGAGAGTCCCTCCACCCTTCAGTTCAGGCCCTCACCATTGGGTCAAGGACTTCCTGAGAACTCGGAGCACAGATGTCTTAGGGTCCCTCAGCCTCTGCGAGGTTTCCTGGTTTGGCCTGAAGGGGAAAGCTCTAGGGTTGCTAAGGACAAAGACTTAACATTTAGAAGCTTCTCCAGGGACAGGCACAAGGCTGCTGTTCATCCTCTCCATGTGCTGTGCGGATGATGAGCAGAGGCCCGCACCATGTGCCAGAAGAAGAAGGCTGCTGATTCACAGAAGTGGCGTACATGGAGATTCCTTAAGGGAGTGGGAGGGGGACAAGCATAATTTATGCCCTAGACAAAACACTTAAAGAGTGCCAGGGTTGGGCCTCCCCGGTGGTGCAGCGGTTGAGCGCTGGGTTGCGAAGCTGCCCGCAGCCTCTGCAGCACAGTTCAATCCCCGGCCACCGGGAGAGAGTCCCACATGGCGCGCAGACCTCTCCTGCCTCCCGCTGCTCCCCTCAGCAGTGTATTTCGTCAGTCTGTCTGTTCTGCTACCCCCTCTGGCTCTGGTGAATTCTCTCACCCTCCCGCGCTTCTGACTGTACCCAGCGCTTGTATAAATAAATAAATAAATCTTTAAAAAAAAAAAAAGTGCCAGGGTTAAGTCTCCATGGGTTGGTTAAGTGGGATCATCACCAATATAGGCCTGGGGCAGAGGCTGTAGGCTGTGGGCTGTGAGAGGAGGAAGAAGAAGTTGAGCTCCAGGTAGCGATGGAGGAAAAACATCTGCAACGGCCTCCGTACCAACCACCCATCCCACCTCTGGCCCTGCTGATGTCTTAGCTCGGCCTCAGAAAAGGTATGGGGTCAGTTCAGCCTTACTGCTATCTTGAGGGAGCAAAGGAAATGCAAAGACCTGGTGAATAATAACAGCAACAACACCCTACCTACTGTGCTTCCACTTTTCCAAAAGGCTCCTGCTTGAAAGAATTTCGTTCCGATTTTGTAAGTACCATATTAGACGTTCTGATTGGGAATACTATGCCCTTGGGAAGTAGAACTATTCCAGTGACATGTGACAGGACTGAGGCTAGAACCCAAAGCTGTGGGCTTTTCTGGACCTTGGCCCATAGGTTTGTTGCTCTCTCAGCTTCATAACTCTGCTCTCTCCTATTCTGTCTCCACTTGGAGACAATAGGCTGTCAACTAAAACACAGCCTCCTGGCCCCACAAAGTTGGTACGCAGCTTGACTTCAACAGTATCTGGGTTTGAGAGTCCCTTTTCAGAGTCCCACTTTTTGCAAAGCTTGTGTTGAGAACATAAAGTCCCCACTCAGTCACCTACCATCTCTCTGTGGTTGGGATAGTATGTCTGCTCGATGAGTGGGAACTTTTCTCCTCCCAGAGTCTTGTAGATGGCCACCAGCTGTGCAAACTGCAAAGGAGAAGCAAATGTTTCAGTTCATCTAGCAAACTGCTGGAACAGGCAGACAAAATATCGATTGAGCAATCAAATATTTATTGAGTACTTGATTTGTTGTGGGCTCCATACAAAGCACTCTGAGGATGTAAAAGGTGTGTGCAATCCCTAGTCTCAGAATGTTTGTTTCAGCTGGGGAAGGGGAGGCGAGTGAGTTTACATTCATTCAGTACCTTCTCAATTTTGAATATTTCATTCAATCCTCACATCAAATTGATAAAGTATTTGATTATCTTCATTTCATGTATCCCATGAATTCCAACTTGCCTAAAGTCACCCAGCTACTGAGATTGAAATGGGGGTCTCAAAACCCTAAACACCTGCATCTGGAGGTGATACTGCTAGGTGCTGAAGTGAGGAAGATAGGGCCAAGTCCTGGATGTTCCCACGCCAGGCAGTCAGCTTTACCCTGTAGGTGTCTCTGAGGTCATCGGGGTGTCAGGGTTGAAAGATCTTTGGCAAATATCTACCAGCTTAGTGCGCCCCACCCTCATATTTTGTAAGCGAAGACACTAAGGCCCGGAGAGGTCACTCACCAAGGTCACACAGTTGAATGACCCCTTTGTTCCTGCTCCCTCATACAGCTGCACCAAGACCATGATCTGCCCACAGGAGACACACAGGGCTTCACTGCCCAGTCCATCTCACACACACACCTCTCTGTATAAATAAGCAGGAGTGATCCAGCCTATAAGCAGGAGTGATCCAGCCTCTTCTCTCTAGTGCTTCTTGGCTCTGATCACACTCTACGCCACCAACATCTGGAACAGCTGGAAGAACAGTTGCTAGGTCAAACCTGCCTTCTACTTGTGAGAGAAAGGAAAGCTACAACATTTTTCAAAACTTCAAGTCCTATTCCCCCATAAGGGATGCTGGCACATGAGCTGAGAAGCTGAGAGGTGAGGGGGTGATAAGTTAGTAAAGCTCAAAAGTGGGGTCCTTCTTATTCTGCCTCTTCCTCTAACTTGATTGGTTCCTCGGGCCATGGTGTTTCCTCTCTAGGTCTCACTTTGTAAACATCTAGCACCCCCTCGTGCACCCACCATCCCCCATATATAAGATGAGGAGACTGACTTTGATCAATTCTTTAAGCTTTTTACCACAAAGGACATCCTGTTTGGTAGCTTCCTCCCTACCCCATTATCAGGCTGCAGTGTAAGTCATCATCTTTGGTGAGTAAAGACAGAATTTTGTCCTTGCTTTTTAAAATTCTGGGAAACATTGTAATTTCTGGGTAGCTCCATCAGTGACACAGGCTTGGTGTTTCTAGATCTCCCAGGACTAGCCCGATGATTCTATTACTGAAAGAGATGTTTAGCGAGTTCCCAGGCCAGCCACCTCACTTTGCAGGAGAGGAGCGGAGGTGGAAGCTTGCAGAAGCCTAGGGGCAGGTACATGCCAGGTCTCCCCCACCATGGGTCTCCACTGCAGGTGCTGGTTCTCTTCAACTTGTTTTGATTATTGAGACCAGGCCCTCACACCTGTCCTGCCTTCCCTGGTCCTCTCCATCCCCTCACCTGACCTTTTAGTCCCACCTGCCCACCTGACCAGACTCCTGTCCTGCCTCTGAATACTGCTTGAGCTCCCAGGGCTCTCCAGGGAGCTGATGCCAACTCTACTTCACAACCTCTGTCCTGCTGCCGCCCACGCTCTGGCGTGTCACCAAGGCATGTGAGGCCCTATCTTCCCAGCAGGTGGGAGAGTTACACAGACACCACTCAGATGCCAGGAGGGCCCACGGTCGACTCCCCAGGCCCTGGGACAGCCAAGACTAAAATGGCAGCCAGTTCCCAGGCATTAGTTGAGTTCCTGGGAGCCTACCCCATCCTCCCACACCCAATCTCCAATAGTTCCTGTCTGCTCAATGTACTGGGCTTGGCATCTAACCCCTGCCTCCTTGGAAATTTAGATTGTCACAAGCACACAGTTACCAAATAAACAAATGTAACTCCTGATAAGGGCTAATTCCTCTGTGCACAGACAAAAGAATTCTGTGAGTTGGGGTTGGCATTTGGCAATGACCAGAAAGATAACGTTCACTATAAACACTTATCCAATGAATCAGAAAAGACTTATTGGAAGATGGGATTTCAAGATCCATCTGAATTTAACATGTTAGCCTTAGCCCTCCTGGAAATAAAATGCTTTAATTCAACACTAGCACTTATGACTCAAAAACAAAAGAAACAACCTAGGAAGAGTGACAGAAAGTCAGATATATTTGCAGCAATAAAAGAACAAGAGGTGATCTTGCTTTCTCTGGAATGGCGCTCTCAGTGGGCCACTTCTGCTTCCTAAGTCCCGTGGTGCCTGCCTGACCAATTGACGAGACAGCAGATGTGCTCAGAGGCCCAGAGCGGTACAAGGCAGAGCCTGTCCCACTCAGCAGAGGCCTCCCCTCACACCCAAAGCAGCCTTGCTTAATGAAGTTTAGAAAATATGAACCAAAGTGGTCATCTCAGAGTTACCCTGCCCTCACAGTCCCCACACTTGTCCACTCCCATGAACAGGCAGAGAATAAGATATAAAATGCCACTGGCATGGCAGCTGCTTAGTGAAAACGAAGGGAGAACTTGGTGTCTGGCCAGGGAGCCCTGCTGTTCTCAGGCGATGCCAGCGGCGATGGCTGGGGTTTGAATGGGTGAGAGTGTGAACCCTCACCAGATCCCAGATCCCAGCAGGAGCGAAGCCCAAGGCAAAGGCTCTCTCTGATCCTCCCCTCTTTGGCCTCTGGTACAATTTTGGAACTTGAAGCAGTGAACTAGTTTTTTACCGAGATCCCAAATACTCAGGAATTATAACAAACAGGCTGGCAAAGTGGTGGCAGGTACTGTTGTTATTCCCAGTTTGCAACCAAGAAATAGGAAGGATAGTGAGGGGGATGATTAATGAAACAACCAGAAAAGGCTAACTAACACTAGCAGAATTACCCTGTGTGGGTAGGAAGGGACCAGATCCTAAAAGGTATGGGGTGGGGGGCCTAGAGTACATTAGCAATGGGGAAGGTCGTGTGACTAAGGAGAAGGAAAAGGGGTGTGGGAGCCAGAAAAGCAAGCTGGTAAAGGCACCTAGGCGCTTTTCTGTGATTAACAACACACGCCAATCACATATTTTCAGCCTGTTTCTGAAAAACTCTAGGATTCCAGATGTGGGAAAGGCTGGAGAAGGCAAGTGGGGACTCAGCCCTCCTTCCTCAACCACAGCAGCTCCCGGCTTCTTGACTCCACGCTCTTGGTCTTTCCCTTACGCTGTACCACCTCCCTAGTTCCCAAGAGAACAGGAAAACTGTCCTTTCAGAGGTGGGGAAAAAAGATCATGAGGTGATGGGTCCATTTGGTTAAAAAAAATACAAAGCCCCTCTCCAGCCGCCGGCATGGCTGGGGGAACTTCACACCCAGCCCCCAGAGCCATGACAGTGGGCCAACCAGAGCAAGATGACTGAACTTTTATTTGTGAACTAGGAGAGGATCACTCAGGGCAGGTCTGCCTTCCGAGAGGGCCAGCTTGGAGCAGCAGCGCTGGAGGAGCAGGGTGCCCGCCGCTATAGGAGATGAGGCTAGATGTCTCGATGCATCCAAAGTCAGGCCCCCTCCTGGCCCCATTCTTGCTCCCGGCTCAAAAGTGTCCACCACCTCCAAGATTTCCAGACTGGCCAAGGGAGAGAACGCCAGACCAGCTTCCTCCTCATGTTGTAACCCCATTCACACAAGAGACAACCTAGAGTAATCTGCCTCTGTAACTTCGGCAAGTTACTTAACCCTTTCTCGGTCTCATTTCTCTGTAAAAAGTGGTAACAATGCTAATAATAATATCTTCCTTGTAAGGTGACTAGGAGGATTAAATGAAACCGGTGGAGGGACTCTCAGGTGCTGGCATGATGGTGTGCAGGGTGTGATATGCCTCTCTTCTTTAATTTTCACATCTCTACCATGAAGGGGTGAGCACCGATGATTTCCAGGGTACTTCCCCTGGATGAATGTCTGGCTTGCATGTCTGTGGGCAGACTGCAAAGACACTGGGTAGGACTCTGCCACTCACATCCTTCTGAGATGTCCCTGTGGGCCCCACCTTGCCAGGAGTCAGGCCATTCAGTGGCAAGCAGTATTCATGTTGCATTGCATGGCTGAGGGCGGAGCCTCCCAACTTGCAAGGCCTTCTTCACAGAGTCTTTGTGTGACTTGGCCATGGGGCCAAAGGTCCACTCTGCAGCCAAGGCGGCCAGGCCCGGACATGTGGAGTCTATTTTGAATGTCTCCACCTCCCACCCCAGGCCTCGGCCGAGGTGCCTCCTGAGCATCCTGAGCACCCTTCATGCTTCCTGAGGGGCAGGGAGCACAGGCCTACATCACTCACCACCCAAGGCTTGTCGCAGAAGTTGTAAATGGACTCCAGGGAGTTGATGCTGGGGAGGCCTGCGTACTGCATGCCTATGATGAGGTGGCGGAAGTCCTCGTTCTCCGCCATGCCGAACGCGTGCTGCCGGATGAGCACAAAGTCTGGCCGGAAAGACCTAGCGAGAACATAGAGGCAACTCTGACATCGGCCAGTACCTCCAGTCACATGTCGTCTTGTCTCCCATCTCCAAGGTCCCAGGTGGAGAAGTGGTCTCAGGGACCACCTGGTCCAAGCTCCTCATTTCATTATTACAAGGCACATCTCAAGGGAGATTCAAGGAATAGATTCCTGCAATTCCCTTGTTTTCTGGGGCAAGCACTGCCCTTTTCTAGGTACAAATGCCCTGGTGGGTGGCATGGGAGGGAAGTGAAACACTTTTAGATCCTACACCTCAAGTGAACAAGCATTTTCCCAACCCCATGGGGAGTATGAGCTCAAGCTCCCTGTGGCTCCAGAGCTGGTGCTCCCAGCAGCCTATGAAGACAATATACCTGGCCAACATCACAGCCCTGCTACAGAGACCCCTGTTCCTACTCCCAAAAATAACTGCTAAAAAAAGGCCATGGCTTCATCGGGCCCCAACAGAGCGATGGTCCGGGCTGGTGGAGCCCAGACACCATGCCTCCAGGTGAGAGTCTTCCAAAGCACATGTGAGGGTGGAGTGCATGTATTTTTCGCAGAACTGAGGTTGAGCAATGGCTACAGGAAGCCCCAGGAGTACAGAATGTTCCCGTGCATGGGATGGCTCCCTGTGTTTCACCTCTAGCCAGCAAAGGTGCAAGCCTCAGTTGCTGCACAGGACCAGGGCCCCATTCCTGGCCCTGGCATCAGGCCCTGGCCCTGGCCCTGGCATCCAGGAAGCCCCACCTTCCCAGACGCTTCATCCTATGGCAGCCTCTGCCCTCAAGTCCCAGCAGTTTCACACCTGGTTCTCTGCCCAGGCACCATCCCACCCTGGCTCAGAGATCAATCTTTGAAAGCAGATTCCACTTCTTGTGGAAGGAGTCCTCCTGGGTCACTTGGGGACTGAGCACACAGTCTGCTGGTGCTGCTCTGCCCTCCTGTGCCCATGCTGGGAAACTGGCTCCAGCCGGAGGCCCGAGCTGAAACCTTCCATCCCGGTTACTGAAACTGAGCTCTAGACTGTGGTCAGCCCCCTAGTTCCCACACTGGCACCTGGAAGGGCCTGTGTCTCTCTGCCACCCCCTCCATTGCCCTGCTGTGTGTCTGCACCCCTGCCACCACTTCTACCTGCAACGGGAAGGCCCTGAGCTCACCCCACCTGAGCAGACAGAAATCCCTTTCTGTCTTCCCCCTCAGTCTCCAGGGGGATGCATGCACATATCCTGTTGTGATGTCTCGGACCCGGGCCCTTTCCTGGCACAGGCCCAGGTCCTATTGGACACTGAGGCCCTCTGGGTGAGGACGCCTTCCTCTAGCCCTTCCCCGTGGCACCCTCCCCATGGCACTCACATTCCACACACTTGACTTCATAACCACCTCCGAGGGCCAGAGATGGTGACTTTGGAGAAAGCGACCCCAGGACTTACCGGACCACCTTGGTGCCATTCCGGAGCACCTGCATATCCACGGCATAGGTCCCATCGGCATGGGCCACCAGGTTGAGCTCTGAAAATTCTGCCTGGAAAAACAACAGCAGGGGATTAGACATTATATGCTTGGATTTTTTAAAACCACAAACAAACAAGCAAATAAAGTGACATAGGGGAATAAGCCCACAGTCCCAATTTTGCCACGTCCCCACAAACTGTAGTGGTGGCATCCTCCCCAACAAACGTTTAGTTTTCAAAGCATTTTCACGAACTGACTCATCTAATTCACAATGCTATGAGGCAGGAGGGACAGAGATAATTATCCCCATTTACCAAACAGAAAACTGCTGCACAGCAAGCCCACTGCTTGCAGAGACGAGGGCAAGCTTCAGCCCCAGAACGCCAGCCCTGCATCCCAAGAGCTGCTGCACTGACAGCAGAGTGGGGACACGCTTTTCTCTCTTTCAACATAAAAGCACTAGGTTTTAATTTGGACAACAGAGTTTTTCTTCAGTTCTGTCCCCAAGGAGTTGCATATAACATTAAGCAAGATACTTGTCCTCTCTTGGGGAGATAATTTCCTCCTGTTTATAAAATAGGAACCATTTTGATTGACTGTGCTAAAGTAACAAGTTGCTTGAAGAACTGGATGCAACACTGGGTGAGCAAGGACTCAGTCATAGCATGTGGTATCCAGAAGGGGGGGGGGCCTTCTATCACGACACACAGAACGCATACACTGTCTAAATGGGACAGTCTCCTCGCCATCCAAATGGACCTAATCTCTACTTATGAAGCAAAGGTCAGAGGGGAATTAAAGAGAGGGAGAAGGGCCTCTCAGGATTCTCTGCACTAAAGCCAGGTGGTATTCTTCTCCAGATTCCCTCTGAAGTTCAGTCTCAGGCCCTGAGGAGGCCACACACCTCAGTGCCAGATGTGCCTGCCCAGGAGCACCTTGGCACCTACAGCAGGGAGGTGTGGCCCATGTCCTAGGAAGACATTCTTCCAAGCCTCAGCCTGGGAGGGCCGGAGGAGCCCCACGGCTCGCCTCTCTGCAGACACCAGAACCAGAAGAAGTCAAGGAAAGCTGCTGCCTGCAGGCTCAAGTCCACAGACAGAAAGGCCCAGGGGGAATGGGCTGGGGGTGTGGACACCACACTCCACAGAACCAGATGGTGCTCTCTGGGCCACCAAGAGGGAACTCTGATGTGCCCACACGGCTGATTACCTGTTCCACTTTGATATCATAATCTCCAAGAACTTTTTTGCCACGGAAGCTCTTGGCCCTGGGGAAAAAAAGAAAAAAGCACCCACATGAATTAGTTTTGTGCCAATGTTGGAAGTGAGAAATTCACTATCACCAAAAAGAGGATGACAGCAGACAGCACCCCAAAAGGAAAACCAAGATCCCCTCACTTTGCTACTACATCCCTGTGAGCCGAGCTGGTAGGCTTGAGCAGACATCTTCCTCTCCTGGATGTTCCACCTGCCCTTAACAAAATAATCCAAAGCACCTTCTCATGCACAGGTCTTGTGATTTTATGATAACGTCCCTGATCTTTGGGCTACCAAAGAAACATAAAAGCAGGAATGTGCTCGCTGTTTACTCCTGTGAAGACGAAGCCAGCCTCACACACTTCTCCACAGAGCCCTTCTCTTTCCCATCCTACTTTCACTCTGATTTTTTTCTAGTTAACTTCTACCCTTGGGATCTTTAGTTTTTTAAGAAGCTCTCATCACTTCCACAAAGGATTTGGGGCAATTAATAACTTAAAAAGAAAGTAGGACCTACAAAACAAGGATTAAAGGATGACTGATGAGCATTAACTTTGCCAGGAAAACGGGGAGGGGTGGGAGGTGCTGTGGAAAGTGACTACAATTGAACACAAACCTGCTGCATTTCTGAGCTGCCAAGAAAATGAGTGACCTTGAGTCATGCAGAACTCACGTCTTCCCCCATCATGGACCCGGAGGGCCTTGCATCAGTGCAGGAGCGCGTCCCAGCCCCAGCAAGTGCTCAGTCCTTATGCTAACATTTCTATTTCTACTCTGCCCTTAACCTCATACTCCTGGGTGATCTTCTTACCTGCCCGTTTAGGCTGATTATCCATTTGTACAAAGGCCCTTTCCAGACTGGACCTGTTAACTAGGTAAGGCTGCCTGTCCAGCGCCTGAAATTAGCACATTTCCAGGAGGTTTTCGAGAAGTCCCTCTCCAAAATGAAGGGCTGCCGCATCATTTACTGGGTATCGTGTTTTAGGAGTTGTGTGCCAGTTGCTTTCAAGAACTACTCATTTAATCCTCATCACAACTCACAAGGCAGGAAGAGACATGAGGGAAAAAGACGCAGAGGAGGGTGGTGGCACACTCAGGGTCCCCAGCCCTTGGCAGGCACAGCACTGCCTTCCCTCTGCCGATTCACACCCCGACTCGTGTCCCTACCCGGTGCCATAAACTGACTTGCCACGTTTGCTGCATTACCTGTCTTGTTTTTTTCTTTTTTCTTGTCTCCCCCCCCCCACTCCCCCACCCCCCCATTTCCCTTCTCCCGCTCTTAAGGGACTTGATGTTGTGAGCACTAGTTCCACTACAAATACTTCCTACCCCGGTTCCTGAGAACTGCCCAGGATGAGGCCAGGCCATTTCCTTTCCTCTTGGGGTTCTGGAACAGTATGTTCTAGGAAATTGTCACTTGGCCTATCCAAGTCCCTGGCCACCCTCAAGTCGTCCCAGAGGCACTCAGCCATCCTGCAGCTCGTCACCGAGTCCACCCCCACCTCCGCCCCACTTCCGCATTGGCTCATCAGCTGGCTTCCAGCACCCTGCTCAGCATTCAGGGCTCAGCCAGACCCTCAGCAAGGGCCCTGGAGCACAAGCCACCATGTGGCCAACATCCCCTCTCACTTCTGGGTTTAAATACCAGGTACACGAGGCACTGCATCTGCTGCACAGACCTTGGCTACTGCAGGTCTATGGCCACTATACAGAGGAGCTGGGGGGAAGGACCCTGAGCTCCCCTCTTATGTTAGTGAGGGCGTCTACCCCAGCTTCTCCAACACTGCCTCCCATTTTCCTGTCTCAACAGTTTCCCTGTGAGATAAATTCCTTGCCTTTCCAAGCACATCCCCTGCCGTTTTGCTGAAACCATGTGAAGCAGTCATGCTGCTATCTATCAACAGATGGGGAAACTGAGGCCTGGAGCAGTTGAATATTGGCACAAATTACAGAAAAATTCAGAGGCATTATGCTTAGAACTAAGAATGCAGAGTTTACATCTGGGTGCTTACATGCTGCTGGGTTTTTATCGACTAAGTCATTTATTTTGTGGGTTCAGAACACTGAATATATTTAAACATACTTAAAGATTCCAGCTGGGTTTACCTGCCACTTCCTGTACCTGCCTATTGACCAAGTTGACCGATGACTGTTTTCAGGCCTCTCCCCACCCCCACCTCTCAATTATCTTAATGCCTTTTCCTTAAGGTAATTTGTCCTGTTGGAAATCTCAGTCTGTGTTTCCTGCTCCGGGTCACTGACCTCTCTTGGCTGAGCCTCAATCTTATAGAAAGGGAGACAGGATGGCAGGCAGATGGGGCGCAGATGGACATTCTCTGGAGAATGAGCACATTCTCCCGGCTCCAGGCCCTGAGACGTTTGGTTCCAGGTGTTTTCGTGAAAAATGTTGTGACTTACAAGCAAGTGACAGAGGAGTCTCCCAGTGCAAAGAGAGCCCCATGGGGAAGCAGCGTGCTGGAACTCAGAGCACGGGCCCTAGAGGCGCGTCAGCCTCTGATCTGAGCTGAACCCTGTTCTTTCCTGCCTGTGCCACTGAGGCAAGTGGCTTAAAGCAAAAAATAATAGTGTGTCACACGGATTAAGCAATCTTATCTTCAAAAATACATAAAAGCATAAGATGAACAATGGCAGCTTCTCCTTTCCATCCCTGGGTTCAGCTTCTTAGTGTCGTCCAGCCTAGGAATACATGTGCGCGTATCTGCAGAAGCACATGTTGCGACACACACACACACACACACACACGGCACCAACGCTACATCAACTCTTCTTTTTTGGACCTTGATTTTTTTGTTTTGCACTTAAAGACACATCTCAGTGGCATGCTGTCAGCACAGACTGACAGCCCTCTTCTAATACCTGCATAAAATTCCATTTGAAGATCACATGGTAACTTAACCTATAATTTATTAGACAACATTTATGTTACCAGTTTTGGGGTTGTTTTTGCTATTACAAACAGTGCTACAATGACTTACATTTAAGAATATATCCACAGGATAAATATATTCCCAGCTCTACTGCGGCATGACTTCCAAATAAAATTATCATCTATTTAAGGTATACAACATGATGATTTAATATATACATGCATGTGCTTTGTGAAAAATACGTACTTTGTGAAATGGGATTACACCATCAGGTTAGTTAACACCTCTGTCACCTCACATGTTTACCATTTGTGCGGGGGTAGGGGAGGGAAAATGCTAAAGATCTATTCCCTTTGCAAACATCAAGTCTACTTTACGGTATTCTAGAACAGTTACCATGCTGTACTTTATTTTTTTTTAAAGTTTTATTTATTTATTTATACAAGCACTGGGTACAGTCAGAAGCACGGGAGGGTGAGAGAATTCACCAGAACCAGAGCGGGGAACAGAACAAGCAGACTGACAAAGTACACTGCTGAGGAGAGCAGTGGGCGCGGCAGGAGAGGTCTTCGCGCCATGTGGGACCCTCGCCGGTGGCCAAGGATCGAACCAGCGCTGCAGAGGCTGCAGGCAGCTTCACAGCCCAGCGCTCAACCACTGCGCCACCAGAGGAGGCCCCATGCTGTACTTTAGAGGGATTAATAATTTATTGCAGAATTGCTGGTGGAAGGGATAAACACAGTTACAGTTTTTAACGAATTGCCACTGTTCCCTAACCAAGAAAAAAAATGCTATCACTCTCCCCAGTGTTGAAAAATTGGGAAAGTTAGTTCTCCTCCCTCATTCCCTGCTCCATCCCCCAACCTCCTCACAGAAGCTGGGCACATAGAAGGTGCTCGGGAGGGGCTTTCTCACTGACAGACTTATCAACTCAACCCAATTCACCGCCTTGTGTTTAATCCTAAACAGAACCCAATGTGTACATCCTTGAAGCACACACTAAAAATATCTATGGTGCCTGTGTTGTCAATTTCCCCCTATTGTAACATTGCTTAATAAGCCTAGCAGCTGAGGAGCATCTGAGCTTAATGGCTTGCAGCTTCCTTGATGGACCCAGCAATGAACCATCTCGCCTTATTGCTAAAATGAGTAGAGGCTTCTGGATTTAACTCTTCTTCCTCATCGTGATGAATACCTTCATCAACTCCCAACCACCGGCCCCCTCAGGCTTGTGAAGCTGAGCAGCAGGATTTCAGAAACTTCTCTGCTAATGCCACCTCTAAACTTGGCCCTACCTAGGCAAGCCTTGCTTAGTGCCCTCTGTTTTATGCCTGAGATTATGGAGGAAGGTCTGGAAGTAAAAGCCAGAGGAGCTGAGTCCAGCTGCTTAGTTGTGTGATTTTGAGCAAGTACCTGCCTCTCTGAACCTAAATTTCCTCATGTACACAACAGGGCTAGTAGCTATTTTAATAATAATAGCTAACATTCCTGTGCATTAACCACTCTTCTAAGTGTTTTATCTCATTTGATAGTGCCTGACTCACAGGTTGTTGTGATGACCTAATGATACCAGATGAGAAAGCATTGCCTTGAAATGCTTTTAAAATCCTGAAATGCCATGCAGACAAAAATACTGTTAGAAAAATATCACGAACACGGATGCACCCGGTGTGAGTGCGGTTTTGCTGTTACCATGGCCACCCTGGCTTCTCTCTTATCTGCACGCTTGTCACATGTGTTATCTGTTCATGACATCTGTCATAGCAGCTCATCTGGTACCACCACCCAGACTCACGTTCTCTGTGCCCTCCTGCCCCGGCCTCACTAGCTCATGTAATGATGTTCCAGAGCAAGGATCACCCTGGAGGTAAGCCCCGGAGTCTCCAGAACATTTTGATTTTTAAATATTGATTGTCCTATTGTCAGATTACAGACTCTATATCTCTAAGTTTCCACCTCCTTCACTGAGCTGTGTTCTAGGCAAGGTCACAGTCAGGGCCCACAGTTCAGGCTGCAGGCCCCGCAGTTCAGGGCCCGCAGTTCTGGTTTCCAATGTGGAAAACCAGAAGAGGCCACCTGAGGACTGCATGTGCTGCGTCTGGTCTGCAGGCCGCCCTCATGTC